TCCACACACACACACAGGCATCCGGCGAGCGGGCGCCAAACAGACGGCGTAGCGTGACTGTGCTTCCTTCCTCCTCGGCTCTTTCTCTCTCTCTCTCTCTCTTCTCTCTCTCTCTCTATCGCCGCTGCTGTTGCATGCTCACCCCTGCGGGTCAGATTTTCAAAACAACAGAAGGGGGGTCAGAATTCGAAGGGCGCCTGCAGCCAGGTGAACCCCCCACAGGTGCGTCCGGGGCCCCAGCGTTGCGTGGAGGCGGGGCTGACAAAACGCCGCAGAGTCGCACCGACGCGAGGTGGGAAATCGGCGCCGCACCCTCCGATCCTCCGCCATTCCTCCTCCTTATAAATCCGCCGATCCGGCGTGTGAGTTTGACAAAGTCTCAGCTGCAGCCTACAGCCTCTAGAGCCTGAGCTTCAGCTCTGCTGCGGGGGGGGGGGGCGAGGTGGTTCTGCCAGGGAAGGGGGGGAGGGGGGGGGGACGAGTTGTGGTCCGCTTTCCAGGGGGAGCTTTTCCGGGCCCCCCAAGACGGGCCTAGAGGACCCCAAGACCCCCCAAGACGGCCCAGAAGCCCCCGAGACGCCCAAAGAGCGCTCCAAGACGCCGAATATGACCTCCAGACGGCCCAAGAGGCCGCCGAGACGCTCCAAGAAGCCTCCAAGAGTCCTCAGAACAGGACCCTCGAAGGCCAAACTCATCAATTTTACGATGGTTTTGGGAAGATTCTGGCCTTTCCGCCTTTTCGGCTTCCCGACGCTCCAAGACGGCCCAGAGGCCCCCAAGATCGCCCCAAGACGGCCCAACAGAGCCCCAAGACTGCCCAAGAAACCTCCGAAACGGCCCCAGAGGCTCTCAAGACGGCTCTAAGAGAGGAGCTGAACGGGGAACCCGAACGGAAATTTCGAGCCCTCGGCCTCCAGAAGCCCCCAAGAGGCCCCAAGAGGCCCCGAAGAGGCCCCCAAGAGGGTCCCAAGGGGTCCCAAGAGGCCCCCAAGAGGCCGCTAGCAGGGCCCAAGAGGCCCAGAAGAGGCTTCCAAGAGGCCCAAAAGAGGCCCCGAGGGTCCCCACAACGGCCCCCAGGATGCCTCAAAGTGCACCCATGAGGCCCCCGAGAGACCTACCACAAGATCCCAACGAACACTGAAGGGCCCTCCGACACAACCCAGGCACGATGGTCGCATTGGCCGAAGGCCACTACATAATCGCAAACGCCACCGTCATCGTTATCGTCATCGTCATCGTCATCATCATCATCATCATCATCATCATCATCATCATCATCATCATCATCATCATCATCACCACCACCACCACCACCACCATCATCATCATCATCATCATCATCATCATCATCCTCATCCTCATCCTCATCCTCATCCTCATCCTCATCATCATCATCATCATCATCATCAGCCTCCTCTTCCTCCTTCTCCTCCTCGTCCTCCTCCTCGTAATCGTCACCAGTCGTGTGTCGTCGGCCGTCGGCAGCCGTTCGCATTCAGTCGTCGTCGTCGTCGTCGGCCGTCGGCAGTCGCTCGCCGTCAGTCGTCGTCGTCGTCGTCGTCGTCGTCGTCGACGTCGACGTCGACGTCGACGTCGACGTCGACGTCGACGTCGTGGTCGTCGCCGTCGTCGACGTCGTCGTCATCGTCATCGTCGTCGTCAACCGTCGTCGTTAACCCATTCGTCGGTCGTCGTCGTAATGATCCCACTCGTCGATCGTTGGTCGCCTGTTGTCGTCGTCATCGCCCACCCCAACAATAGCATCAAAAGCGCCCCGGAACGGCGGCACTGGCCGGAGGCCACTACAATATGATCCCCCTGTCGAACCCAGGGGCAAATCTTTAGGGCGGGCCGGGCGTTTCGCCTGAGACTTCCTCACCACGACTATGAAGCTCAACAAATTCAAACCGTTTCACAGATGGAGGGCGGGTCGTTTTCAAATGTGGCTCTCACCTTAGCGCCGCGCACATGGCGCTGATCCTAGTCACAATAGCGCTGGCCCAGTCTCAGTAGCGCCTGTCACACTCTCAGTGGCACTGGCCCCAGTTCCAGTAGCGCTGGTCCCAGTCCCAGTCCCAGATGCGCTGGTCACAGCGCCGACAGCGCTGGCCCCAGTCCCAATAGCGCCAGCCCCAGTCCCAGTAGCGCTGGCACCAGCCGCAATAGCGCTGGTCACAATCCAAGTCCACGCGGCGCTGGTCCCATTACCGCTAGCGCTGGCCCCAGTCCCAATAGCGCTGGTCACATTTGCGCGACCCCTCGTCCTCCTCCTTCGTCAATTGGGGGGGCGGGTGTTGCGAGTGTTTACCCCGTCGTACTGCGATGCGTTTGGACAGTTGGATGTGACGAAATTGCGGAAGCAGGAGAGAGACCCGAATGTGCGACCCTGTGAATCTGCCCCTGCTCCTCCCGAGCCGTGCGCGGAGAGATCGTGGATTTGCAACGAGACGAATGCGGACGGTAGCAGGTGTGGACTCGTCTTCCACGATCAGATGGGGTG